CAGCTTGTTGGAGACTGGGGCTTGTTGGGGGAGCGAAGTCTTTTTTTGGGAAACTCCCTGTAAGAAAGGGCTTCTAGGTTTTTGGCTGGGATATAGAGCTGTGGTTGTGGCCGGAGACAACAGGGAAGGAAGAGACTGCTCTTGAACTCTCATGGTATATTTTCCTGTTTCCTGAAGGGATTCTTGTGTCTCAAATCCCAAGCAGAATTGCGCCAGGCATGTTTCCCAGCCAGATGTAGCGGCGTAGTGGCAGATGTCATCCAATTAAGGAGATGAAACAGATGATCCAAAGAGCGCGGATGCACCCTCTCACCGCAGCTGCTACGACTCGAAGTATTGACTCCTTTCTTGCTCACTTCCATGAGGACACCGATCCTTGGCAAGAACCTCTGCGACTGTAGGGCTGAACCTCATATGACTGTGGGTTCAAACCCGGGCACCCTGGTTGACCAGCGAAGTTCTGAACCAAGTCCTTTATAAAGAATGTCAACCTACCGAGGTTTGGCGGGTTTTTGGACCCACAGCCATATGTTTGAACCGGGGAGCGTCGTTTTTTCAGGGTCTGTGCGTTTCTGTGCGCGTCGTTGTAGCCCGAAGTGGTTCAACTGGTGCTGCGTCGTAGCGTCTCCGCGTGTCTCCTGCACCCTCTCAGGAGGCACAAGCTGCGAACCTTTCATCGCACCTCGAACACATGTCGAAGAAGGTCAGGAGGCTTCACTCGCTTGTGAGAGTCACCACGTCTGAACAGATGAGTGAATCGCAGTATGTGGCAGAGAACGTGGCAGAGTATGTGAAGTCCATGACTGAAGTCATGAAGACGAAAGCCCATCAGCTGGGCATTTTTCATCACTCAGCCGCAAGGAGCAAGGAGAGACAGCTTTGGCTGCGAAGCCAGGCAACCGACACCCGTTTGGAGGATGTGTTGGCGGAAGTGCGAGGGAAATCCATCATGCTTGCCATGGATAGTATGGACAAGACTTGGTGGCAACTTCGGGCCAAGTTTGACTCATACTTCGATTCCACGGAAGACCACTTGGCAGCCTTCAAAACAGCTCTGGAGGCATTAGACAGCTACACGGACAGGCAGGAAGGCTTCGAAATGAATTGTTGTTTCAAAACGTGAGGCTTTGTGCCAACCGTTTCTTCACTTTTTTTGACCGCGCAGCACTGATGCCGGAGTTCAGGTCTCCCGGCAACGCCCGTCAGCACGGCGGGCTGGGATTCAGGGCTCCCAACACCCTCCCTCAAGACTGAAAGATTCTTGGCTCTGAGTCAAAACCTCCCTCACCAAACCGTGGTAGGATGACCAACCAGGGCGTCCGCTTTTTTGACCCACAGTCACTTGATCTCAAGTGGGTTGTTGGGATTTTGAGTTTGCATACTAGAATCAATCGCGGGTGGCGCAGGTGCTCCATGTCCTTCACGGGCTTGAAGTCTGCCTACACAGTCGTTGCCAGGGCAAATTTGAAGACTCGTGCCACTTTGAAGGAGGTGTGGACTGCCACGAACCCTTTGGTTGGCCTATTGGTGTCTCAAGTTCCTCGCACTAACCACTATGGGTGGACTAGTACACGTCAGACACGGGTTGCTGATAGAGAGTCGTTCGAGTTTGGTAATCCAGAATGTGAAGCCCTGTGTATAGAATGCGTCGAGACAAGTGTCCAGCAGTTTCTCAGGTCTGTAGGCTTTGCAGCAAGACACCGAACTGTCTTGCATGAGCACCCACTTTTATTCATTCTTTACCAAGGGAGTCGGCCCCACCAGGCTCTATTTGTTGGTCCAATATCAGTATTCGCTGGGCCCCCCCATTTAAACGAGATCATTTTTGTGATGACACTAGAGTAGTCCGAACGAGATACTGTACTGTGAACATGACCTCCTATTTAGGTAGTCTAAACAATATAGGGTGTCCCCACATAATAGGTAGTGTCTTTGAGTTTACGTCGTACTGAACACATGCCGCCCCTTACACCAGTTTGCCCTTCTTTTTCGAGAAAATCACTCCTGATTCCTCACCGTCTTGGCCAAGCCAAACGCCGCCATCCTCCGTCTGTTCGCCTCGGGCCCCAATTCGGGAGCCGGGAGGCTCGACCGCCCCGAGCTCGTCCGGGACCCCCGAGGTTTTGGATACGGAACTCTTGAAGGAGTTGGCCAGCAATGATGTCGCTCAGATCCTTGGTTCGAAGTCCAGGTCCAGGTGAGAGAAGAGGCGGAGTTCTGGGCTTCGGCCATAGGAAAGAGGTTGATGAACTGTTGGATGAAAACCCCAGACTTGGTCTTTGGTCGACTGCGAACGTGTCGTAACAGACCAGGATCAATGCCACTGAGCTGTTGCAACATATGTTGCCGAGCACTTGGTGCAAATCCGAAGTGCAATTGGGATCAAATCAATCAGGAGGGTGGCATTTGCATGTGCTGTGAAGTCACCTTGGGTAAAATTCCAAGAATCTCCCATGCCTGTAAATTAGAGGACAATAACATCCAGCAATGTGTGTTCAATCTACTGTAACCTTTTGAAGGTTGTGCCATAGCCTCAGCCCAGTCTTTGCAAACTTGCGACTATAGCCACCAAGCCTTTCCGCTTGCGTTTGAATCAGCTTGCTGGATGCTGGAGCAGGACTCGTGCGTGTGCAAGCGGCTGTGGCTTCAGCCTTGCAGAAGGGCCTTTTTGGGCAAATGCTGCAGCAAATTTGGGTCCTCTTTGATGAGATGGACATGCTGGTGGAGAGATTCCAAAGCGAAGGTAAGGACGTGCAGTAAGCACGCATGCTGCATTTTGCAATGCGAATGCGTATGCGTGTTTCTCATTTTCTTTTTACGGGGATACCCACAGCATATTGCAGCGACGTTGATTGATTTGGTGTGCTTTTCTGGAACTTGTGCTTCGGCAGGGATGGGACAGCCACACAATGAAGAGGTCTTGCAAGATTCCAAGCAAAGGATGGTCGGGCTTGTGGAGTCGTACGCGGGAGCCCAACAAGAGACAGCCTCGAAGCTGTGGCACAGTTGGAAGGAGCTTCACTGCCAGTGCCTCAGTTGGTAAAAGCATCCTGGAGTAGATAAGATGACCGTATTTCCTTTGCACACAATGACAGCGTTCATATTGTGCGATCAGAAGACTGCTTTGCAGGGATCCCTCTGAACAATTCCGGGAGCGCAGTCAGCCGTCGCTCTCGAGCGTGCCGCAGGCGCAACGGCAGCTCCGCAGTGACCCGGCCTTTTCTCCATCCTTGAGCAGGCTATAGGAGATGTAGCCAAGACCTTTTCCGGTTGGCGTACATGCTAGACGATCCAACCGCTTTTCTGGGTGGCTGCGTGTGGAAGTCCGACATTTTCTCCATGGTTGGATGGGAATGGAAGTCGTCCAGGTCCTACCATTTCAAGCTTCCATTGGTGCAAGTTCGGTTTCCTTTTTATTCTCAAATCTTGTAGCCATCCCGGATTCCCTGATATTGATTCCATTGCGTCTCGAACCTGGTGCTTCCCTTCAGTTTCTGGTTGGACAGGGAGGAATGCAATCCAATTTCTTGTGGAAGATTTTTGGGCACAGGCTCGAGTTTTGGCCATTCAGCTGGTCAGGCACATTACGGCCCGGCATGGCTGAGGCCTGGTGGTTTTAAAGCTTTTTGCGACCAGGCCAATAAGTTTTTAGGCTGACTCCATAGACACCAGAAAAAACATTGCGGCGCTGAAAACCATCTTTTGAGCGACAAGCGTGGGAGCCGAAGTGGAAGCTTTTCTGCATGTACAAATGATGTCCATGCCGGCCGGTTCCATGAATGCTGAAGGGAGTGAACACGTAATTAGATGCTATGCAGGTGTAGGTCATGCATGTGATCAACCACCTTTGCAGCCACTGAGCACCTGAACACCAAAAATTACAATAAACAACAGTCGCGCTGGTGCTTGAAGGTCTACCTTTGATTGACTAAATTGGCATGCTTTGTCATCTCATGATCTCATGTGTCTTTTTCACATGCGACTGCTGCATTCTGCCCTTTTCTCCATTTTGGACGAACCAGACTTATGTAAGACAAACCACCTTCTCCTCGTGGAGCTTCGAAACACACGCTTCACTTTCGCTTCGCCTTCGCTTCGCACGCGCTTCGCCACGGCATGTCCGTGCGCGCGGAACCGTCCGACGGCATGTCCGCTTGGACGAGCTTCGCCATGACTGGACCAACGAGCCTTCGCTTGCCAGAGTCTGGAGGCCCAGGCGCCCAGGCTGGAGATGGGGGAGCTCGGGGTGGGAGTTGGGAGATGGCACTTCTTCTTCTCTTTTTTTTGGCATGCTGATGTTTCGCCGTTTTCTTTGTTCTTATCTTATGTTCGCTTGTTTGTTTGTTTTTATTTGTTTTTATTTATTTGTTTGTTTGTTTGTTTGCTTGTTTCTTTGTTTGTTTGTTTGTTTTCTTGTTTGCGTTGCATTAATTTTTCTCTTTGTTTTCTAGCCACTGGCAATTCTTCCAAGCACACTCCTGATGCCGTTTTGCCGACACGAGACCACTTGGGGATGGGTTGTTCAACAAACGACTGCCATTCCAGATCAACTGGCTGAGACGCCAAGAACAGAAAATGAATGCAAATCCTTGGGAAAACCTTTCTTGACCAAGAGTGACATAAAAATGGGTGGTGCTGGCCATTATACCCGTTTGTTGCGGTTCAGGCAGTTAAGGATATGAGCGGAGTAAATGTGTTTTCCCGTGATGCAGCAACGATCCTGTTGACAATCATGTTTCTGGTTGCGTGAAAAACCCCTCACGGTTCTCATTCCAAACAAACGCGCTCCATGCGGACGACCAAGCGCGAGCGCACGACGGGCACGACGACCAACGTGAAGCGCCATCGACCGGCGGACTGAAGGCGAGTGTTTGATGGAAAAGGCAAGTAATTGGCGACTCTAGATGAATCACAAATAACCTTTAATCGCCCCCCCCTTTCTGAGACACGGATGGTGGGCAACCTCTGAAAAAAAAGGCTTTGGGGGGCTTCTGTTCGATCATCAAGAGAGTGCATGACTCCGAGCTGTGGTGTATGTTGAGGGGAGACTGGAGACTCGGAGAGGCGTGGAAGATGATGATCAAGCCCCTGAGGGGTGTAGAGTCCTCTCTGGTCGTTCCACGTGCGCGCGTGAGTTTCGCACGAGTCGATGCCGGAGGGGCGCCAGGTTTGTTCCGTCGATTTTAGACGTGGAATGGCGAAAAGAGAGCCCAAGATGAATAGCTCGGGCCATAGATCTATGTAGAACTGCTTTCACTTGTCAGGTTTACTTCTTATGGCTTCTGGAGTAGATCCGAAACCTCGCCACAGTTTTCTGATTGAACTTTGGAGAAGTGCACCACTTCATAATATTTCTTCCGGAGTGGATCATGATCTGAATTGATGGATCTGAATATACCGATCTGGTACCGATCTGGCTGAAGGCTCCAGCCTAGGTCCACTGGCATGTTTTGCACGCTGGAAAGTCATGAAACAGAGCTACCCACTGCTGGCAGGTTTGAAAGGAGTTGTGACTTATGTGTGTGGCGATCCGAATGAAAGGAACAACCATCATGTTGGATAGAGGATCTTTCGCCACAATGTGTGAGCTTTCAGCGATTAGGTTTGAAGATCTTGCTTGAATTTTGTCGATCAGTGCCAGGTCTTGCTGGAGGAGAAGAGATGTGCCGTGTTTTATTCCGAGAGGATCAACAGTGACACGAGCAGACAGGAGGCATAAGAGAACACGGAAACCGAACGGATTTGAGAATCGGCTTGAAGTAAGAACAAGAATCGACCGCTCCTCGAAAAACCAGAAGTTCTGTGTGAACAATTCTGGTTGAACCACTCCCTTCTTTGGGTTTATTTGTGCAAGAACAAGAATCGATCATTCTTGAGTGGCCACGAGGCAGCAATGCAATTTCAGATGGGTGAGGGTGTGACTAAAAGAAGAGGAATCACACCAGACTAAAAAGAGGAATCTACAGATTCCTCGAAGAAGTGCTTTCCCATAGGGAAATTGATAGGTGTTTCAACGCTTGAAGCAGCACAGGCAAGCTTCGTTCCAAGGATGGATGTGAAGGAATGCTGACAGGTGATACTGATAGTGACGTAAAATGTGAGTGTCGTCTTGCAGGTGCAGCAGCTCAAAGACAAGCTTTCAGAACTTGAGGCCATCCGAATTGCTTGATGAAGAAGTCGTGTGCAGAACTATGCAGTTGGAAGTTTGAGCAGCATTCGCCACTGTCAACACACCGAGAACAGCATGTCTCCCAAGAAGGTCCAAACTAGTCCCAACAGTTTGACTTTCTTCTCGAGCTGTTGACCCCAAAGCCGGATCATTCATCCAGATCAGATTTTGTCAAGGGCTTCTCAACTGTAAGTTAGCTTGTACTTGGGTTTGTACTTGAATATAGAGGGACCTCCCTGGCGGGGTAGATGGGTCTATTTTCCTTCTCCAGGAGGTCAAACTGGGAAGGCTCCCTATGTTAAACACGCATCCATTTGGTTCCAAGTTGTTGGTTGGCTTGTCCTCTTCCATCAGAATCGCTTTCGATTTCGTCACGTCATCTTCCATTTCTTCGACGGACTCAGATAGACAGCGGTGCTTCGTGCCGAAAAAGAAGAGAGTGAACCAATCGGTGGACTGAGCCATCCACGCGAGCCATCCACGCAAGGTGCGCAAGAGACACATGCTCGACCAAGGCGCAAATCGACCCATGTGGCGCTGTCGTCCGGTTGATAGACGTTCATGGTGGAACAGGTTCATAAGAGTACCTGGAACCCAATTGACCCCTATTTTGATAGGAGAAGGCCATATTTTGGGTGGTTGGTGGTCCAAAATAGAGGTCATTCAGGTTCTAGGTAGATATAGGGCATAGGTATCAAAAAAAAAAGAGCATCAAAAACATAAAAACAGGATCAAAAAAAATACAAAGCGAATCAAAAAATAAATATTCCTTGATAGGCCTCTTCTGCTGCTCTCCTGGCCTTGTGGTCTGCGGGTCCTCTGGTAATGTGGTCCCTTGGTCCTTTGGTCCCTTGGTCCTCTGGTCCACTGGTCCTTTGGTCCCCTGGTCCCTTGGTCCTTTGGTCCCCTGGTCCCTTGGTCCTTTAGTCCACTGGTCCCCTAGTCCTCCGGTCTCCTGGTCCTCTGGTCCTGTGGTCCGCTGGTCCCCTGGTATCCTAGTCCTTCCCACTACTACTCCTACTACTCCTCCTCCTGCTGCTGCTGCGCTGCTGCTGCTGCTGGTGCTGCTGCTGCTGCTGCTACTGCTACTGCTACGCTGGTGCTGGTGCTGCTGCTGCTGCTGCTACTGCTACTGCTACTGCTACTACTACTACTACTACCACTACTACTACTACTACTACTGCTACTACTACTACTATTACTACTACTACTACTACTACTACCCCAACCATCCTCAGTGGGCTAGAACATTTTTTTTTTGATTCCCTTTTTATTTTTAATTGATCCCCGTTGAATAATTTTTTTTGATTCTATTTCTATTTTTTTATAGCTACTAAGCTAGGCAGTGGCTTTTTGTTTTCTCACCCAGACAGCCTCGTCTCACACTTCGAAAGGGCTCCTTGGCGCATTTGGCTGTGGGTCCGAGATCGAGCCCCAGGGACCCTGGGTTGAGAGAATCCCTGTTAGGGGAATCTGTTCATTTGATCCGCGGTCAACCAGGGTTGGGGGGTTTTGACCCACAGTCATTTCTGAGTTGACTTACCTGATCAAGCTCCAGCTTGGGGCGCAAGGGGGGGCCATTGGATTTGTGCTCTTTTTCGTCGTCATATCCGGGTCTCGAGGCCTATAGCCTTCCTTTAATACTATTCCACCCCCCATGCTCTGCGGTTCCCGGGCTCAAAGCCGACACCGACACCGGACACACCGAGGGCGGACGTCCAGCCATCCAGCAGCTCACAGACGCGGAGCCCGCGGACGGGACTTCGATGAACGTTATTTTTCCCCAAACAGTGTGGACACACTAGGGGTTCTTATGGTAGGAGAAAAGCAGCTGATGCTTAGATCGCTGAAGCGCGCGGGCGTGTGCGGCTAGTTCGCTGCTATTTACAGTGCATTCATGCCTCTCGACATCGTCCATGGGCATTTCGACTGCGCAGGCTCGCTGAATCTGGGGGCCCGCGGCGGGTGCTTCTAGCGACTGCGCTCTCGTTGTGGCGCCGTGCGCATTTTGGTACGGTGGTCACTTTTCGTGGTGGCAGGCGCAAGGGAAACCTCGTGTTTTGGTGCTCCAAAGCCGACTTTTCGTGACAGATTGGGCTTGTTCTGGTTCGAAATGCAGGCTTCGTGGCAGGTGCATCGCTTTGGACGTGGTGATCGTTGAGGAGCTCAGATTTCGTGACAGGTGCAGTGAATCGTGACTTTTGGACATGTGGCTCGTTTCCACAGCACTCTGTGACCCTCGATGTGCAGATCCCGTGGCAGGTGCAGCGCTTTGTGAACCTCGAAGTGCAGATCTCGTGGCAGGCACAGCACTTGGTGAGCCTCGAAGTGCAGATTTCGTGGCAGGTACAGCACTGGGTGAACCTCGAAGTGCAGATTTCGCGGCATGCGCAGAACTTTGTGAACCTCGAAGTGCAGATTTCGTGGCAGGCACAGCACTTGGTGAACCTTCGTGGCAGGCACAGCACTTTGTGAAGCAGATTTCGTGGCAGGCGCAGCACTTTGTGAACCTCGAAGTGCAGATTTCGTGGCAGGCACAGCGCTTGGTGAACCTTGAAGTGCAGATTTCGTGGTAGGTACAGGACTTGGTGAACCTCGAAATCAGTGCAGATTTCGCCGCGCTCAGGCCCACACTCTCCCACTCTCACACTCTCACTCACACTCGCACTCACACTCACTCACCCACACTCACTCTCACCCACGCTTACTCTCACACTCACTCCACTCGCACTCACACTCACTCACCCCCTCACTCACACTCACACTCAACCCACCCACCCACCCACCCACCCACCCACTCACTCACTCCCCCCCTCCCTCACTCACTCTCTCTCTCTCTCTCTCACTCTCTAACACTCTCACACTCTCACTCGCACTCACAGTCACACTCACTCACCCACAACCACCGCCACCGTCACCACGATCTCCGCCCACATCACCACCGTCCCCTCTCTGAACCCCAATGCGTCTAGATCTTTAGACTTTCTGCTGCTACACCTCTAGACCTCACACACACTGTTTGGGGTCTCTTGCCACGATAATTGTTTTCTTTTTTGTTTTTTACATTTGCAAAGCCATCAGACATATGCTAAATGGTTTTCTTAACCTTAGGTGAGGCGTTATATTTTTAATGGGTTTCCTCCTAAGCTTCTTGACTCAAGTAAATATATTCAATTTTCCTCAGGGACCCTCCCTCTATGCCAGGCCACTCATGAATCGCTGGTGGGTGGGTCCATTTCTGAAGCTGGACCCATCTCAGGTGGCCGTCCCCCGTACTCTCGCCAGGCATGAAGATCTTACAAACCTATACGCTGGCGACGCCCACGGAGGCGTCCGGGAGCTGGAGAAATCGTGGAACTTCGACCTGGTTGGGCGGTTTTGGGGCGAATGGTTTCGCCAGTGGATTTGAAGGCGGCTTCTGGAGAGAAACATCGTGGCTCCATCTCGGCAGATGTTATGAGGTTTTGAAGTGGAGTTTGAGTTCGACATGATGAGGTTGAAGTACCCTGGAGTTTGAACACGTGAGACGGCAAACCATCCGTTTGTAGTGTGGTATGTTTGCTCTTGCGATCAACATCATGTGAGGATTCTGAAGTCCAATCGTGCTCCCCCAAACAAGACAGTAATTAGTCCTCTCTCTCAACAAGACTGCAGAAGAACTTCGTATGGGGAGAGCTTGGGCTGTTTGTGTATACAAGGAAGTTGTGTCTACAAGCCTTCAGAGTAATTTTTTGCGCAGAGAACAATTTGCACCGGTTAGCATCATGCTCTGACGACACTTGTTCTAGGATTGGATTGCGTACTAAGATGTACGAAGTATGAACCGCAAGAGCTTGGCTTTGAGAATCTGAAAACGATCCAACCCCGAGGAGCTGGAAAGCACAGCACCATGAAGAAAAGGTAGGATTTGTGTCTATCCGTCGTAGGACCAAAAATGAATGGTAGCGGGGAATATGCCAAGAGTTGTTACTATTTGATCTTTATATCTTTTTACTTCCCATGCCACGTGCCTTTTGCGTATTCCGCAGGTGGATGAGTGGGCACTTCCCCGTGCCGTGCCGACTTCGGGTGATTCTGAGGGGCGGAACAAACGCGCACCACTGGAGGTAGTGATGAGTGGCTGCTCCTCTTGGGCGTGTGAAAGGGCGAAGCCGGGGCTTCGCCACCTTCGCTCTACCACCATTGGATCGGACATTCCCAAAGTTCCAATGTTAGGATGTTCGATCAAACCATACCTGGACTGTAGGAGGCAGTCCCTTAACAACCGTGTGAAGCCCGAACCATCCCGTCTCCAAGGCTTCATTTTTTTCACACTTCGGACGCAGTTCCCTGCTTATTCCGTTCCAATCCATCCGAGATCTAGGAGCTCGCCTTTGAATGGGCGCGTCATCTGCGTCCGTTTCCCACCCGGCGACCGTTGCCGAACGCCGAGACTCCGCGCGCCCCGGTGGCGGAGGTGAAAAGAACCCGGTCCTGCAGTGTAAGATCCTATCACACCAGCTCGGGGCTTGGGGATTCAGCCTATGAACTCGGTGTTTTTTTTCCTCTTCCAACGAAGAGAGCGCATTGCTGGTGCAGGCTCGTAGCTGTTTTCTTGTAGCACCAAGAGGACATGCATTGGAATTGAGGTGGGACACCACAGCTTGCATGAAACAAACACCCAGTAGATTCCAGTCTTCTGGGAGACGTGGGAACAGCGGTTGGCACTCGGTGACTTCGCGCCCGACTCCGATGGAGCTCTTTGAGGCCGGGTGGTTCAGTCTCGCGGTCTCCTTGCCGTGGACGACGCCGCGGCGCCCGGGGGTTTCGTCATTTTGATGGTCCATGTTTTCATGTTGACTCTGGAGGGTTGATTTTGAGCCCGCCGTCATTGAACCTTTTTGGAGGTGTTGCGGCAACATAGACAGAGTCACTCCTCCAAGTATCAGATCATGGACATCCGAAGCTGAACTTCCATCAGACCAGAACGTCCAGGTGATTCTCGTAATTATTTAATTAGGCATCCCTTTTGGTTTCGGAGGATCTTCTTGGTTTTGCCCACCAGTCCATGCCCCTTCATCTCGACAGTTTTCCACGCTACATGAACAACATGGCAGAGTTGATGTTCTTATTCCATCTTTGTCAGGATCGTTGCTGTTCATTTCCTGGGGTCCTTGGAAACAGGGAGGAGCCCGTTGGAACCTGAGATGACTTCCTGATTCGGGAACACTTCGTCATCTCCACGTCAACGGTGAATCCACCGAGGTACTTGTCCCAGCACAGTCCTGGGATGTGGCCAATCCACGTAAGTTTCCGCACCCCCAAAACCCTTTGTTCAGTACTATAATTCCTCCAACATCACCCCTTAACCAGCCAAACATCACCCCTGAATTTCGATCCCAAGCCCACTTCGGAACCACTTCTCTTCACTCCCGAGCGCTTTTCACCTCACCTCCATCGCTCGTGAACCAACGCTGTCCAGGCGGCCCATGAGCCCAGTTGAAAGGCGCTGGTGTGGTGTGGCGCGGACGGATCGCCCGTGGACGGCGTCGGACCGGGTGGTTGGGGAGACGGTCGAAAACGAGACGTCCAGGCTGTGTTCTCCTCCAGATGAGATGCTGAGAGTTCGGTTTTTGGGGCGCCGACTTCACCTGGCCAGTCTCTTCACCAGTTCTTTCTTTTCCGAGCCGCTGGGCCGTAGATGGAAGCACCGCGCGCGCGCGCGCCGTTTCCGTGCGGGCAGCGGGGGGGGGTTACTGTGGGAGGTTCGAGAGACCGTGGGCCAATCAATGAGCACTCGGCCAGAATGGTGGGACCTTGGAAGCCCAAGAGACGTCAATAGGACCCGCACAAAACCTGGGGTATCCCGGTCCACCTCGGATAGTCGAACAGTCAGTTTCTGACCCACCTCTGTTGGAAAGGCAAGTCTGTCAAGACCTTGCTGTGTCGACGACTTGCCTCGTGGCCACCGTGAAGAATACCAGGGCCCGGAGTGGTTCATTGACAGCCCTTCGCATCTAAGGGGCTATTATTACTCCAAACCGAGGCCACTTCAATCTGTTGCTCAATGGGTGACCTGAAAAGGGATCCATCGTTGACTGGCAGGTCCGGTGTCGAACCCGGACTGGGGACATGCACGGACTGGGGAGGTCCGGTTGTGAACCCCTTCAAACACCGAAAAGAGCATTCGAACCGAAAAGGCCATTTTTGGGTCGGGGGTCGTCCGCAAGAACTTGACATATTTTCGGGACAATCATCGTGTCATAGTGACTCACTGGAACCAGGAAGGGTGGTATCTCTTCGGTGTTTTAGGTCTTCATGTTTCAATACAGTTACTGCTACCTAGTTACCTAGTCGCCTGGTCGTTTTGGTTCTCCAAACCGCAGAGCACTTGTTGTTGGGGACAGGTAGGTTGACAGATGGCTCCCCTTCCTTCGGCGCCCCCGTCGTGCTCGACCTTTTCGGGCCGAACAGCTGGAGCCCGGAGTGGGGACCCGCCCACTGGGGACCCGGCGAGACAGGTCCTTGGTCAATAAGCCTGCAGTCTTTGGTTGATATAGTCTATACATGCTTGTAAAAAAGGGGTGAGAAGGGGTCCATGCAGGTAGAAACTTCCATACATTGGAGGGTTTTTTGGTTTGTGATTCTGTAGTTATAACCCATACATTCCAAGTTCAGGAGGTGGTCTGTTCGGAGCCCTGGGGAGTCATGACTGGTACATGTTCGATCCACCCCGCTGTCTCGACGTCAGAGGCGACCCAGAGCTCATGTTCCGCAGCGCCACCAGCCGTGTAGGGGGGCCCATCCAGCCAGGGCAGGGGGGGAGCGTAGCTTGGAAGTCCGACCATTTGTTTAAATGGTTGATCTGGGTGGTGACCTGTAGTGTAAAAATATCCTGAAGTAAAACAGCTGGTGGTTCGGTTTTCAGGCCATTCAAATCATGGTGAGGGGTACGTCTCATGTGGACAGGCCCCATGACTCATGACATGACCTTTTGGACTTCGGAGGGTCTCCCGACAGTCTCCGGTCGGTCCCCTGGGCTGATCTATGGCCATGCGGTTGGTGGATTTATGGCAAAAAGGATACCAAAAGGGAGAACCTCAAGTCGTGTGCCACCCCGTTTTTCCAAGTCCACCAAGTCCACCAAGTCGTCCACCTTTCGACCGACTCTTAAAGTTTTTCAGGAAGTTCCTGGGATGTGGGATCACCATAGCAAGCGCAACACATAGCGGTTGCACGGCTACACGGCTTCATCGGTTTAAGGCACCTGGCCAAGGTCCAACCGTTCGAAGGATTGGCACAACTCATGAGCGAACGATTGGACGAAGGTCATTCGAGGTAGGACATCCTTCAAGTCAAGGTATTCCTTGAAGTTGTATGACTATACATCCTCACTCTTGCGCACGGTGTTCTCTTGGTGCTCCAACAGCCTATATTTATCTATATGCCATGAACGCGGTCCTGGGCGAACTCCCGGGGTCCTTCGCCGGTCCCCGCGCGGGGCTTCCCTGCCAGCCTCGCCGCGAGGTCTCCTCCCGCCCGGGCGAGGCCGGCACCGCGTGCGGCGAGCTCGGTCTCTTTGGGCCGCGGTACAGCTGCCGGCCGGCCGGTCTCGGCGAGACCGCAAAAGCATCAGATATTCAATCAATTTCATGGGCGATTGGCCCGAGCTGGGTGAACAGTTGGATTTGATTTTTCTTTTTCCGAAAGCCTTTTTAGAGGAAAGAGCCCAGCAGTCACAAGGTAAGGGGTGCCGAACCAATGGAGGAAGGAGTACAGGTGCCCCGTCGTCACATCCACTGACTGGATGGGACAAGCCACAGGAACCCCGACAGGTGAATTTTCTGGAGGTCAATCTTTCTTTTACTAGTCTTGGATCTCTGTTTTAATTTTCCGGCCTTTCTTTTTTCCCAGGTAAGACACACACAGACACAAGACATTGGTGTGTGTGATTGAGGCGCTTTTTCGCGCAGATTTTCCACGGGCTCAGGTTTCTACTCCTGAGAAGCGTTTGATTGGCCGTGCAACTGGAGTCGTACTCGTAGGCTTTCACACCATGAGTGGAGAGCAAAAGACGGTCTGAGCACTGCTCGGTGTTCCACCAGAATCTGCCAACGAAGGTTGAGAGAAACCGACCTGGTTGAGAGGTTCCGTCCCAAAGCGCGGAACCATCTCCGGAGGATAGGGGGGGGGGGTCCCGACGTCCCAGAACCCCACACCTGGGCGCTACCGACATCGCTCCAAATCCATCTCCTTCCGACATGGAACTGCTGGAGTTGACAGTCTCCCCAATCTGGTAGGGGAAGAGCCGTCCCATTTTCAGGTCGTAAAATCGCAGAACAACCTCTGTTGGTGGGTTCCATGTCCAGAGGAAAGCGTGCTGCGTCAGCGCCCAGAGGTTTGGGGGGGCTGTAGCAGTCCTTAGCCCAGCATGGATTCAATGGGTTGAATCATTCTCCGAACAAAGATTGCTTTATACCGGGACCTTCGGGACCTTCCAAGTCCGGTGCTTTTTGGACACCTCCTGGTCACCTCTAAGAGGCTATTTACAGACACCTCTTGGTTTTCGGTCCTGGTACTGTAGACTGTACTTTAAGGATTTTACGCTAGAAAACCAGGTCAATCATTTCTTTGGTCTTGGGGTCTTGGACGTCCAGGGTGGGTTTTGACGTGGATAGACTGTGAAGACTGTTGAAGAGGGACATCCTTTGCTCGAGATTCTAGATCGAAAAAACGACTTTGCTCAAGTTTCCACAAATAGGGTCTTGCTACCTACAAGGAGGTCCTGGTAGTTTCTGGTTCTGGATTCTTCCTGAACCAACAACCAAGTATTTTTTTGAATATATAAAAGCCATCTGGCATGTTGAGCTGTGTGTTAGGAACCTGCCTTGTTGAGACGAATAGAAGACCTTCAAGAGACGATTCGCATCGAGCTTCAGAATTGGAGAGGAGATGCAGGATCACTTCGCCGCCCAAATACCAGGTCCCCTGCGCCCCATTAAATTCTTTCAATCCTTTTCATCTCCACTTACAGTCGCAACACACTGTACAGGTGGTCACGTATACAGTCCACACATAGGTGGCACATCACAAGTCGCACATCGACAAGTACTGTTTGAGGCAACGTTGATGTGTTTCACTTCCTGGACCATCCAAGAGGTGCCGAAAAAAATAGCCTCTTAGAGGTAAAGGGCTGTTCAAACACCTCCGGATTTGGAAGGTCCTGATGTCGGTCCAAATCGATGGCTGAGGATGTCGGACACCCGACAGAGCCAGCAAGTGCAGCATCCGGACCGTACAGTAGACCTCCTGGTCAGAAGGTCCACCCAGTCCAAGGATTAGGAAGAACACATCTGAAAACAACATATTCCAGCACCTTCATGTCGGGGTCACCTGGTTGGAAGCCCCATACCAGATCCCTACAAATCTCCAGACAGGACACCCCTTTGAAGGTTCAGGTTGAGCTGTTTTGGTCGTGTCACATCCT